TAATCGCCAGTTTCACCATCATTGCAGCTTCAGATATCTTGGTAACCATACGACCAGTTGTGTCATGGGAAGCTACTGTTAATTTTGATTCCGGTCGAAGAATTTCATCTTTGTTATCAGGAATTCCTAAAAAATGGCATCTCTGAACTAAAACACAAGGAGTACTATGTAATAACAAAAAATGTCAATTTGACTTTACCTGGATTGCTTGCAGATTTGCAGCTAGTAATGCCGGCTTCACCACATACCAGTTCTCATTTTCACACACATCTGTAAAAGTTGATTTGTTGTTATACACCTAAATGTATACTATGGATTGCGGAATTTTGTAAAGCATCTCATATTGACTATATATAAAATACAAATTAACATATAAGATATTATACTACTCTAATCAATTAGGATGGAATTCCAAGTCTACAAACTCACATTATGTGCTTTTATTCACCCAATGTACCTTATGGGGAATTGAATCTGAAATTCTGAATGTGATTATATTTGGTCATCATTGGCTTGGAACAAGACTGAATACTTTAAATGTAAACAAGACAAAACAGAACAAAAAACATTATTCATAACTTGGATATTCTGAACACAACAATTTGTCTTAATTAGCTTAAAAAGTTTACATCTCACATATAAATCAATTAAAGTCTCGCCAAATTTCATGTCTGTCAAATTTCACTAATAAAAGGTTTAGTTAAAGCTCGTAATCTTTAACTTGATTAACTCTAATATTTCTCATTCCCGTCTATCAAATTTCACTAATCAACATATGCCAGTATAGCAACATGGTGTAATAAAATAGAGTTTGACAAACACAGAAGAAGAGAGCAATTCTAAGTGATGAATGAAAACAAACCCTTGAGAGTGCAACTTCTCTAGTGTTTAGTTTGCTTCAATGGGAACAAAGCCACCATTTCAATTGACTTCGTGATTAAAGCAAACTGTTAGGATTTTCCCTGAGAACGGAGCTTTCGTGTGGCAATTGCTGCTCCAAACATCCTACAAATTGGGGCCAAAACATATACATTACCTCAAATTATATTATCAACACCAGGGATGCTCAAACGCTAGAAAGAAATTAATACGGAGTATTAATTATGTACATGCTGAGATATTTTACATACCAAAATGTAGTATTCACCTTAACAGCCTATATAATTAACACGGGACATACCATGACTACCACCAAGGGCACTAAAACATAGTAGTGGATGTTGATTTCAGGGCTATAGTATTACCAACAACCAAGACATGGGTGCATAAAAGTATTTAATCTGAAGTAAATATGAAAACTTGAGATGAAAGAGACCTTAAAAGGTTAAACCTCTCTTGTTGCATGGTAGTGAACCTGCCACATTAATCTTCATGCCCTCAAAATAAAACCATAAGGACGAAGGTGCACCCTCACCTGTTTCAAGGTTTTAAAACATAAATGACCAATAAATCTCTAAGTTGAGAGAAAGGCTACATGCAAATTTCTAGAAAAAAATAAGTGAAAACTAACTTTAGAAACACAATCATTTCCGAAATAAGTACCCTGAATCATAAAATACATCACAATACTTCACACAGGTATATCAATGTGAGTATAACTAAAAAAAAAGCTCACCTGATTGGAGAGAATGTTTCTGTCAAAGTTTGTTCAAAACATTAGTTGGATTAAAACCAACGGTGTCACAGAGTTGGTGTGAAACAATCTGCAGTCAGAAACGAAGGTTGTTTATTTTTCATTTTATGTTTTTTGCAAACACAAACAACAATAAATAAAAAACATGACAAAACACAATATATTTGAGAAAACTCATAAAAGCGGATGAAGTGCGTAAAATCTTTGTCAGTGCAAACCGTTGAAACTTCCTTAACTTTTTCTGAATAATAAAAAAAATTGAAGCAAAGCAAAGTCAAATCAATTGAAAAATGTCCTTCACTCACTAAATCAGTCTCACATATGAAGATACAAATTTCTTATTCATCATAGATTGAATCAAAATAAAATAGGTCATATGAAGCCAAATTTGATTTCGTTTGCCTTTCGAGGCACATGAAGATCATGAAGAAGAAACTTACTGCTTTGGAGTATGAGCTGCGGAAACTATCAGGTCATGAGGAGCATTTCACATTTAATCCTTTGATCATCTCCTTCTACATTTCTGCTTTGGAGAAAATAAAAACATTTTTGAATAAATTGCATTATATACATTAAATCAAAATATATTCAGTTATATAGAATGATTAAAATCAATATTAGCAAGCTTAGCTGCAACAAGCTCTTCTACAGCCCAAATCCCTAATCAACTCAAGAATAAAAAAAAGAGATTGAAAAATGTTAGGTTTACTTACAAATAGAAATTGATTTGGAAGTTGGAGGTGCCTGACCACCCCTCTCCTCCAACCGAACTGATTAATAGGAGTAATTCCCACCACTTTGCAAAAAAAAGAGTGATTAATAGGAGTAATCCCCTTACCGCCGCTGCGAACAATTTCGTCGGGACACCCATGGATCTGTGTCCCTCCGCCGGCGGCAAGGTTGCCGCACAAGCGTCGGGAGGTACGGCGAAGGTCGCATACCCAGATAGAAGGCAGAGCGTTCAAGCATTGGAGAAAGATACCCCTGAGTGAACCCTAGCTTGTGAATGGAGAGGGGAGCCAGTTGGATGTATATACCGAGGAGAATGAACGAGAGGTGGGAAGCAAACCACGATTATCAAACGGAGGCAACAGACGAAGGTGAAAGTCGGGCACTGTAGCAACGTAAAAAAGCCCAACTTAACTTTCTTCCACGCTTTATATATAAGGAGATATTACATTGTCATTCAATGACATTGATTTTAAAACAATGTCATTATATTACATTGTCATATAATATATGACATTGACGTTTGAACAATGTCATTAATTGTGATATTCCGTATTACATTGTTATATAATGACATTGCCAACGTGTTTTATCAAACTGACATATTTTTTACATTGTGTCATTTTTTGATTATATTGCTTTTTTACATTGATATTTTGTTTTATAACAATTACATTTCCTATTATCAATGAAAATGTTTTCCAAAATAAATAATGAAATAGTCTTGAGAAAATGATTTTCATTCTGTAAAATAAAATTAAAAATAGAAAGAGTTAAAGTAATAAATAGGAAATTGATTGTTTTTGAAGTAATACTCCATCCTTCCCAAAATTAATTTCTCACTTTCCTTCTCGGGCAGTCCCGAAATTAACTTCACACTTCAAAACTTTCCTTATTTGGCAAATAATCTATATAAAAAAAATGTCAAACAGTGTCCAAACAGTGTTTAAACAGTGCACTCAACAGTAAAGTCAAACTTATTTTCTTAATCTGTGTGAAGTCAAACTGAGAAGTTCATTATGGGACGGAGGGAGTAAAATGAATTCCATTAAAAAACTAAGAACTTGAAAAGTAAAACAACGCCAAAAAAGTTGCACTAGCCTATAGCTACGCACGTAGATAAATTATAACAGCAGAGGAAGTCAAGATAGTTTTAGTAGCAGAGGAACTCGAGATATTTTTCCTACGGGCAACGATATTACTGTAAATGATATGGTCTATCACACGATAATCATTTTTATTCCAGATAACAGGAATAAAAAAACAAGGACAAATGTTTCTCACAAATATTCAGCAATTATTCTCAATCCAACTAAAAGAAATTAAGGAAATCAAATGTAGCAAACACAAACTGCAAAATGGTTCATTTGCACAATAAAATAAGTGCATCTATACACTCCCCTGCAAGCCGGCAATCAATCAAAACAGAGGACTAATAATGTTATAATACGATATTGAAAAGTAAAAACAATAAAAAATGTGCGAAAACGTACATAGAGCAAGGTACAGAAGCAAGTCAAACAACCCAAAAATAAAAGAGAACTAAAGAAGAAAGACAGAGGTCGTCGGCGAAACCTAGCAAAAGAAGTAATCAGCAGCCGGCCCAGAAAAAGAAGAGGAGGAGGGGAGGAAGAGGAGAAGAAGAGGGCAGCTATCCATCTCGTCGGCGACCACTTGTACGGATGATTGTGTTTGAGAGCAGAGTATGCGGCCAGGCAGTGCTATCTCTAGGGATATTTTTGTCCCATCGTTTAGAACTAGTCCTATTTAGGGTTTAAAAACGGGATAAGGGTCAGTTTGGTCTTCGAAGTTGCAAAAAAGGGGTCAAATAAGTCCTTATATAGAAAATTCTGTCCGGACGTGCCATTTGAGGTGGCTCCCGGTGGAATTTTTTGATTAAATTTTTTGAGCATCTTATTCATTAAGTCTAGTTTACTCATACCAAATTTCAGATAAAAATTCAATCGGGAAGACATTCAAATGAATTCTTGAAGATAACTGTGCCGTTAAAAGCGCAGTTATCTTCAAGAATTCATTTGAATGTCTCCCCGATTGAATTTTTAGCTGAAATTTGTTATGAGTAAACTAGATTTAATTAATAAGATGCTCACAAAATTTCACCAAAAAATTCTACCGGGAGCCACCTCAAATGGCACGTCCGGACAGAATCTTCTATATAAGGACTTATTTGACTCCTTTTTTGCAACTTCGAGGACTAAACTGACCCTTTGCTCGTTTAAAAACTTGTAGCTCCTGTTTACCTTCCCAGCTTTTATTTTACTCCTATTTAAGGGAGTGTTTGCAACTGCTTCTGCTTAAAAAAAACACTTTTGGAGAAGTAAGGAAAAAGTGATTGGTAGTAAAAGTTGATAGTGTTTGAGGAAAAAGTGATTTTGAAAAGTAAAAGTTGGTAGTGTTTGGTAAAATAAGTGTTTTTTGTGTAATAGAAAAGGGAAAAGCACTTTTCACACGCAAGCCGAGAAAAAGTAAAAATTGGTAATGTTTGGTAAATAAGTGTTTTTTAAAGCCAAAAGCTGAGAAGTGCTTTTTTTTAAGCAGTTGCAAACACTCCCTAAGTCTATTTCCCTAAAAAAAATCCACCTAAAAGAGTCACAAAAACCCTCTACCAGAGGGCGAAGTCATGTCAAACGGTCGTGATAGGATCGTTACTCTATATCTTTGTAATAATGTAAAAATTGAAAGATCTTTCCCAAATCATCTTGCACAATACACCCCCGATCTATTGAAGTATTCATGCCCCTCTAGAAATGGGCCTGCACACACGGATTAAAGCATGTGCGCCCATAAACGCCAGAGATCAGTCCAAACGTTTTCCACAGAGCTTCGGTAGTATTAAATGGCAAAATGCGTGTTGCGTGTCGGCCGTTCACGTCACGCGCGCTCACCTGCAAAGGTCAAGAGAAAAATCATTCTCTGCAACACATTCTGTGGTTGTGATTCATGGCAACTCAAGGTCAAGTTATCACATGCAAAGGTACCGTTCCTTTTCCATCGCTACACACATAGCTGATTACACGCTGGTATTGTTATAACCACGAATTTGGTATATATCTGCTTAAATAAATGAATTGTCTGCATTTCTGCGGTGTTACTTCACTTACTTGTGTATGTGGAACCCTTTGCTTGAGTGGATCTGAATGTGGTTACTGTGATTTGTGATTGTCCAGCTGCGGTGGCCTGGGAACCCAACAAGCCTTTGGCGATCGAGGACGTTCAGGTTGATCCACCGCAGGCTGGTGAAGTCCGTGTTAAGATTCTATTCGCTGCTCTCTGCCACACGGATGCTTATACGTGGAGCGGCAAGGTTTCTTCTACCTACATACCTACGCTATTTGCCTATTTGATTGATTTACTTCAAGTATGAACTATGAAGTATTTGTTTATGTAATCTGAGGCATGTTTTTTTCGCTCCACTCTTGAAGGATCCTGAAGGTCTCTTCCCATGTGTTCTTGGTCATGAAGCTGCGGGGTAAATGTGATTGTTTTCTTTAAGACCACATAAACGGGAATTTTATACACTCTTATAGCCCGTTTGGTAGCCAAAATTTGCTTATTCTGCTTAAGTAATCAGAATAAGTAGCTCATTTTTCTGCTTACCAAACGGGCTCTTGAAACAAACTGAAATATTTGCTTAATGTTAATTTTTCACTGTTATTTTACGTAAATTTAAACATATGCAGTATAGTGGAAAGTGTCGGTGAAGGTGTTACTGAGGTTCAGCCTGGAGACCATGTTATACCATGTTATCAAGCAGAATGCAGGGAGTGCAAGTTTTGCAAATCAGGAAAGACAAATCTTTGTGGAAAAGTAAGGGGTGCTACCGGAGTTGGAGTCATGATGAATGACCGCAAGAGTCGGTTTTCAATCAATGGGAAGCCCATCTATCACTTCATGGGTACTTCAACATTCAGTCAATACACTGTAGTCCATGATGTCAGTGTAGCTAAGATTGACCCAAAGGCACCTTTGGAAAAAGTCTGTCTTCTAGGCTGTGGTGTTCCAACAGGTGACATATGTTTCTTTCTTGAACCTGATTAAAGTTCTAACCTTCCCCTTAACTTTAGTTATGTAGCTGATTGATAGTGTAAATATGACTAGGACATTTTCTCTTTAAGTCATTCACATTCACATGCTGTCTTCTTTCAGACCAGCTTGTGATCCCTAATGTTTTATTATGGGTGTGTACTTTGCCTCTTAGTTGGGGGCAGAGTACTCTCATAGGTGAGGAGGCCATGCCCCCCTAATTTTTTTAAGTAACAGTATTATACTATTTTTTTGGACCTAAATAATATTGTGCAGACCTGGGGGGAAGATAACCGTGTGTGTAGGTGTGTAGTGCTTCATGTGCAGCCTAATTTTAGGCCAAACAAATTCGTCCTATTTAAAAGGACATCTAAAACAAAAACCCAAAATATTGTTTATGTTCTCCTGGTGACCTACTTTTTTACTGAAAAGTTCAAAGCCTAAACGACTAAGGCACACTGCTTCTATCCAAGTTGTGGAAGGCTAAGCTTGGAAATTACAAGGAGACGGGCCACCAGCCCGCTTATATTTGAGGCTTTTATAATAAAATATCACAACTTCCTTCTTTTAACTTTTAACATTATAATTTATAAACATGCAAGTTATGTAATTTAGCTGAATTTTCCTTGGATTTAGTAAACTAATTGCTTAATTTGTTTATCCGTTCTTGATTCAATTAATAAGTAATAACATGATATAAAACTTTGGTGAATAATATTAATTAAGTGGTTATGTGACTAACTGACTATTTATTCGCTTTTGTGGTTACCTAGCTTTTTAGTTTTTACATGTTTTGACTACTACGTATAATTTATTTATGTGACTTTTTTTGCGTAGATGAAAAATCCACAAACTATTCATGCATTCTTTAAAAGTAAGGATTCTAAGAGCTCTTCCCATGCAACAATGTGCACGATGCACTTGTGGCATGAGAGAGATAGACACATAAAACCCAATTAATGACATTTATCTCTCTTTCTTTCCACGGTTTTATATAATTTTGGTAATTTTTACTCAACAATGTTTACATCTAGACATTCATCTTGACAATGTGATATGAAGCGGGAATAGCATGGGGTGGGACCGGGCTTGGGTCCACTTCCGTGGGCTAGGTTACCGTGGGCTGAGTTATTAATTTTAATTATCTTCAATTTTGATATTTACTCTACTATGCTTCTTATTATGTTTAATTAGAATTTTCCTTAGGCTATTACGTAAATCTGGTCTCCCACTAGACTTAGGCTACGTTTATTTAATTACTTTCCTACTGGAACATCTCTTTTACCACTAGGACTTAGGTTACGTAGAATTGATTTAGTTTCCTAGTGGAACATTGATGTACGTATTATTATTTATACCCACCCAGGTCTATTCAATGGGGCATCGATAATAAAATTCAGATTCATTAGCTAAAGTAGCTTAGGCAACGGATCCAGTCGTTGATTATTCTGGGCAACGGGTTACCCCGTTGATTGTTATTTTTCTGTTCTTATCAATTGGTCCGACCTGCCGGATCCCGTCCCGCCAAGATGACGAGATCTCAGAATGATCGATTGACAGAGCTGGAGAACGAACAAACTCGTATGAGAGAAGAAGTGACCCGGATAAGGGCCAAACAGGCAGAGCATGGTGGCAAGTTTTTGGAGATCATCGCCTCACTAGCGGCGTTGACCCAGGTGATGGTCCCGCCGGTCACACCGAAGAAAGCCGCGGATGACGTGGGTCGAATCCCGGCAACCGAGCTGCATGGAGAAGGCGTGCTGAGCAATCCAACTATAATGCTGCTTCCGTCGTTCGATAGGGGAGACCCAATTGGGTGGATCGCTCGGGTAGAGCAACAGTTCGAATTACACAACACTTTACCGGAAAAGAAGGTGGTTGCCGCGATGGTAGCTATGGAAGGAGGAGCGCTTTACTGGGTGACCTGGCTGAGATCGCGCAGGCCCAGGATGACTTGGGCAGATTTCAAGCAAGCCTTGGTGGACAGATTTGATTCTCGATTTCAGGGGAATAAGTATGAACGATTGTCCGGAGTCAGGCAAATTGGGTCTATAGAAGATTACAACATCTTGTTTGTTCAGCTAGCAAGCCAAGTTCTAGGGTTACCCGATGAGCACTATTTGGGATATTACATGAGCGGTCTTAAGGGGATAATCCGAAGCTCGCTGCGATTGCTCCGACCAAACAACCTGGAGATGGCTATGGAATTAGCTCGCGAAGTGGAGTATAATCTGTCCGTCCAAAGTGGAGAAAGTGGCAGCCTGAATTATCATTCGTCAACGGTACGTTCTAGCAACCTTTTAAGGGCAAACACAAGATCCCCGTTGACTGCCATTGGTGGCAGCTTACAGGGTTCGGAGGGCAGCTTTGCGAAAGACAGTGGACAGCCCCCAGGGACAAGATCAGGGCAGTCTGGGCAGTCCATGACACGCTCTCAGTTCACTTCGCAGAATTGCGGGCGAAGGGATTATGCTTTAGGTGTAAGAAACCCTTTACGCCAACACATGACTGCCCCTTTAAGCAGCTGCGGGTAATGATAGCTGAGGAGGATGAAGAGTTGGACCTCAAGCATCATGAATTTTGTGAAATAATCGGCCACGAAAGGGTTCAAGAAAGAGAAGAAGGATATTTTCCAGTCTATTCTATGACTGGAAATTTCAGTTCCCGATCCGCGAGTTTTCAACCTTGAGGACAAGGTTAATTTGAAGGAGGATGGATTGATATGAAGCGGGAATAGCATGGGGTGGGACCGGGCTTGGGTCCACTTCCGTGGGCTAGGTTACCGTGGGCTGAGTTATTAATTTTAATTATCTTCAATTTTGATATTTACTCTACTATGCTTCTTATTATGTTTAATTAGAATTTTCCTTAGGCTATTACGTAAATCTGGTCTCCCACTAGACTTAGGCTACGTTTATTTAATTACTTTCTTACTGGAACATCTCTTTTACCACTAGGACTTAGGTTACGTAGAATTGATTTAGTTTCCTAGTGGAACATTGATGTACGTATTATTATTTATACCCACCCAGGTCTATTCAATGGGGCATTGATAATAAAATTCAGATTCATTAGCTAAAGTAGCTTAGGCAACGGATCCAGCCGTTGATTATTCTGGGCAACGGGTTACCCCGTTGATTGTTATTTTTCTGTTCTTATCACAATGTGGAGAAAAACTTACAAAAAACATAAAAAATGTTCAAATAAGGAGAGATATTTCTTTTACTAATATTTATGTGGTTATCTCTCATGCCACATGTGCATGTGCACATTGTAGCATTGGAGATGCTCAAAAAGTACCAAATCTCAGTCGAATCATTCATTAAACACGATCCTTTGAATTTTGAGATTTGTGACATGCAAGAAAGATGTTCTAAATTTAAATGTTTCTGCTATTTAATGTTGTACTTTATAATATTATAAATAAATATTAGTACTCCCTCCGTCCCACAAAATAGTTCCCGATTTCCTTTTTGGGCCGTCCCAAAAAATAGTTCTCATTTCCCCTTTTTGGAAAGTTTTGTGTGACTCACATTCATTTACCCTTTTCTTACTCAACCACAACCATACATTTCCACTTTATTCCACTTTCTTAAACTCTGATCCAAGTAAATGCGGGAACTATTTTCATAGTTTATATTTTAATGCATGTTTATATATATATTCTTTTTATCCCTTTTATTCTCTCTTTTTATGTATATCCATCTCTTTTTATATAATCCTTCAACACCCTTTATCATAGCTTACCTTTTTATCTTCCTTATCTTTTTTTTCTTTTGATTATGATATCTTGTATCGATTCATGTTCTCCGACCCCAAAATCTTTTGGGACTAAGGCTTGGATGTTGTTGTTGTTTGTATATTTTAATGCATGTATTATATTTTGCCCCATATATTAAAGTCTGGCTCCGCCCCTGCTCTTAGTCTTGAATCACTATTCCTGTATGGCTGTATCTCGTATAAAATTGGATTTCATGATTATATGGCTACCTCTAGTCTTTTAGGATCCTGTCCGGAACTCAAAAAATGAATGGGGAAGATAAAATGGAGGAGAATATAGGAGATACTTGGGAAAAAATTGCGAGGGAAATTTAAAAATTTGTTCAAAGACTGAACTTCCAACTCAATAAGTTAATTTTTGAAATTGTTCAAACTCACTTATTTATCTATTGATATTATATAAATAGCATGAATGCAAGCATATGTAAAAGTTCTATAAAATATTCATATTTCATTGTTTTTGAAATTTTCTGTGGCAAAACCAAACAAAAGAACATAACTTTCATTATGATATTTTACTCCTGTCCCTTGCATTTTCCAGAAGCTAAATATACCCCAAATTACTGGGGTGAGGAAGAACAGAGGGAACTGAGGAAATAGAGAGATTGAGAAATGTGATATTAGTCAAAGAATGTTACCTACTTATTTCTGTTATTGCATTTATAATTGGCTCCACTGTTCTTTTTTACTCTAACACTTATAACCCCGTTGACATACTCATCAGGATAACAAAACTTAACAAGATTTCAACACAGCATATTTGTGGTTCTATATAATTCTATAATGCTAAATTCTATTTTAAAGTAAATATCATAACTCAAGCATTGGCTGATAAGTATTAACCGTTTATTTTCTTCTGTGAGGAACTCATGTAGTCTTGTTGCATGTGCATGATAGTTTTTATATCAGGAAGGTTATGTTTTGCATTTTCAGATTTATTGAACTTTCTGTGCATGTAATTACTTTAGCATATGTTTGCTTATTTACATCTTATAATTTTCATTATAGGTCTTGGAGCAGTTTGGAACACTGCAAAAGTTGAGCCAGGTTCTATCGTTGCTGTCTTTGGCCTTGGGACTGTCGGTCTTGCTGTAATTTTCCTGACAGATTTACTGATATCTTGATAACAATTCTTAGTCCCATGTTTTACAAGTATTGATGTACTTTTAGTTGTTTCTTAGGTCGCAGAGGGTGCTAAAGCTGCCGGTGCTTCACGGATCATTGGGATAGATATTGACAGCAAAAAGTTTGACACAGGTGGAACTGTAGAAGTTGATATCCACTATTGAGCGTGGATATCATTTCAGTGCTGTTGGTCTTTATAAAATATTAGTTTGTAATGGAAAGACATTTTTGGAAGCTAAAATCATCTTGACCTGTTGATCCTCTTTTCATACAGCTAAGAATTTTGGTGTGACTGAATTCATCAATCCAAAAGACCATGACAAACCAATACAGCAGGTTATTGTAGATCAAACTGATGGTGGTGTTGACTATAGTTTTGAGTGCATTGGGAATGTCCAAGTGATGAGGGCTGCTCTAGAGTGCTGTCATAAGGTAATGGTGCTTATGCTTGCCATTTTTAATTTCTTTAAGGCCTTGTTTGTTGGGCGTGTGATTTCTGGGAATGTGGTGTGAATGTGTGATGGTCTGTGTTTGGATTCGGAACAACCTCAGAATCAGGGAATTACTGGGTTTTGTCATCTCCTTGAAGGAAATGATCCACTTTTGATTCCTTAGTTATTAGGTCATTTTCATTATTGTTAATGACTCCAGTTTTTGCATTTTGGTGCTTGAAGATGGGATGTTTGCCACTTTCAGTCCTTAGTTCTATTCCCTTAGAAATTGCAAGGAAATTGCCAAGTGGCAAGAATTTAATAATCATGAACCAAAAGTGTTAACAAACAAAGCCGGGGAACGAAAGTGGAAAAGAACTGAGAACCCACAACCGTGGGACTGAAATTGGAATTCTTCCGTTCAGAAGCAGGGGGCAATCATATCAGTCCAAAATTCTTTCCTTGATTTTGAATTGATTCTTGAAAAGTAGGTAGAACTTTCCCCATACCAAATGGATTTATATCAGTCCAAGTAATTCAGATCACCAAATGAACTCAAACAAGGCTAATGTTTAAAAATGACCATCAATAAGTTTAAGTACCTACAACAGTGAGACCAAAAGTGGAGTACTTCCTTTTGAAATAGGGGGGATTCGATTATATGCCTCCCACACCCTGATTTTGAAATGATGCATGTGAAATAGGTAGAACTCTTGCCATACCAATTAGATTTTATATCAACAACAACATGAAGCAAAATAAGGTTAATGTTTAAAAATTTGTAAATCATCAGTTTAATGCCTAAAATTCTGTGAAATTGTCAACAGGGTTGGGGAACATCAGTTATTGTAGGTGTAGCAGCATCTGGACAAGAGATATCAACTCGTCCATTCCAGCTGGTGACTGGCCGAGTTTGGAAGGGAACTGCATTTGGCGGTTTCAAGAGCCGCTCACAAGTACCTTGGCTTGTGGAAAAGTACATGAAAAAGGTGATGACATCAACTCTCCCTTGACATCACTACACTTTTACTGAATTTAATCTTCGACTTTCTTATGACTCGATCTGGTCCTCAAGAATGGAATTTGGCCCAAATTCAGTTCTGATACATGTATTTTCTTCAATTCACTGATCTAGAACCAATTTAGGACTCAATTCGTTTCTCGCATTATCAGACATAAATAAATGCCCTTTACTATCAAAGTAACATATGATTGATGACTAAATTGAGTCTAATAGTCGAGAACAATTGAGTTTAGAACCTGGGAAGAAAATGGAGTCCAAAAAAGGTTAGACCAAGTTGTGTACAGTACAGTCTAGGGACTTAAACAGAGTATTAACTCTTTCCTTCCTCTATGAAATCACTGCTCACTGAAATTAATTTCCCATCACATATAGGAGATCAAAGTGGACGAGTACATAACCCACAACTTGACACTTCCAGAGATCAATGAGGCCTTTGATCTGATGCATGAGGGAGGCTGCCTTCGTGTTGTACTGAGTATGCATGCATGAATGATGCGATTGGTTCAGATCGCTTTTATCTTTTGGTATGGTGTGGATTTGTGGAAATCTTCAACCCTCCCTCCATACCCCCTCCACAGTCCACACTTGAATAAGATCAGATGATGATATGTTTGTAAATTTTCATATTCTAGAGACATGCATGGTTGGGAATTTGGGTTATCATATTTAACATGTCTCTTCATTTCTTTTTTGTCAGTCTAGCTATTTTAATTGTTGTTCCTCTCTCCCTACGAACTTGAGTGCCTTTATAGTCTGCGATAATTTTCTTCTGAGATTAACCTCCACATAAGAGTCGGAAAATTAAATTTGGGGCAGAAGTATATTGAAGAGTGTCAAAAGTTCCCAGACCAAATTATATGGTTGGTGCCTTGGTGGTCGGAGCAGGGGCTACTTTTAAACTACATTATCCGGATTCCCAGCTATACTTCTCTTATCTTATTCAATAAATATATTGGTAATAATTAAATTTAGAAAAAATCACGAATAATCTCAACTATTAACTACTATTAACGGTTTCATATTAATCCCATATATTAAAAATTCCAATGTAATCTAAATTATACGGAACATCTTAAAATAAACTAGTGACCTGTATAATCCAACTTTTGTTGGGTTTCATTTCCCACTTTTCCCTTGTTTCTTCTTTTTTCTGGCTAGAATGGACGCCGACCTTATTTTGAAATTCAAGAATTGACTGGACTTAATATTCACGATTTTGTTTTTAATTTCTTAAAAATCAAAGTAATTATGAACATTTTGTCAAAATCTCAAACCAAGTAAGCTTGGCGTCATTAAATCTATCAGGGAAAATAAGTACTACGTATCATGCGTAATGGAGTGGGTTGCGAATAAGGGTGGGTTCGGTTCAAAGTCTCAAACTCTCAAACGGTTCGCTTTTCACCTAAAATCAAATGCCAAACAAAATGACAAACAAAAGTAAAAAGTTTGGGCCCTCCATTTTGGATGTTGTTGTTGTTGCATTAATATATATTTGTTCGATATAAAAAATTATACCCTCCGTCCCGAAAAGGTTTGCCAAATTTTCTTTTTTGGATGTCCCAAAAAGATTTGTCATTTTCATTTAAAGTAAGGAATATGTGGCTAAAGTTAATTCGCTCTACTCTACACAAATTTCAACCACACAATTTTTACTCTATTAGTCCACGTGAAAGTCAAAGTTGGCGAACCTTTTCAGGACGGAGGGAGTATGTGATAACAAACATACATAAGATATAATATATCAACAAAGTATCATTGTCATGCAACAAACAAAATGTAAACTACGATTTAAAATATGTTATAGCAATAGACTTAAGTGTATGTACACGTGTTTCACTTAATTGAGCCATATATATTAAATGTCAATATCTTGCAAATCATAATAAATCTAGTATCAAACATTATTTTCTTAGAATTAAGAATTAATAACTAAACAAAATATTATACTTAATGATTAGAAAATAAAATAACAACTTTTAAAAAGTTCGATTTATTCAATTCGGTTTTGAGATGTGAAAACAAAAACCGAAACCAAACAACTACGGTTCGGTTTTTTGAGTTTGGTTTTGGTTTTCTTGCGGTTCAGTTGTTTTGGTTGCGGTTCGGGTTTTTTCGATTCGGTTTTTGGTTTTCGGTTTCTCCGACCCACCCCTAGTTGCCAACTCTTCTTGAAACCACAAATTGATGTCCGTTAAAGTCCTCTAATCAATTTCATTTTACTTTTCTTTTAACATAGATGACAAACTAAGAGCCTGTTTTGTAATGGCTGCAATGGCTGAAAAGACTGAAAAGAGTAAAATTCTAAAGTGAAAGTGTTTGATAATTTATTGGTTGAATTGGCTGATTGAATATATAATTAGCATAAAGGATATTATCATTTTACACTAAAATACTACACTTTAAAAAGCAACAACACATATCAAAACATCAATACAGAAGCTCCAATCATGTAACATAATGGTAAAAGCACTATGGTGGATTCCATATTTCCATAGAGAACTAAAATTTTCTTTTCATATCCTGAAGGCCGGAACGGCACTACCAATATGGAGCAGAGAAGTCCGCAGAGCCAGAGCATGACTTTTGAGATTATGAAGGAAAGGTTGGTCATAGTTGTCTTTTAACATCTTAATCATAGAAAAATAAAAAACAGCCCAAAAAGTAAATATGAAGCCACTTTTTAAGTTGATAATAAAAATCAGTCAAAGCAGCCGATTGAAGAGGTGTTTGGCTATTTTTACAGATTTTAAGCCTGATCAGCCCATTTTTGCTCTTCCAAACACCCTCTAAATATAATGCTGGCAATAGCCTGGCATGGAATGCCAATAAGGGTATGTTTGAGATTTTGAGGAAAGAGGGGGAATGCTTTGAAGTTTAGCCATAAGAGGAGAAGAGATGAGTAAGTGAATAAAATTCTTCATAATTGAAATCGCTTAGATGTACATGTCTCACATAATTAAACCTATACTCCGAATTTATTTTAAATTGGGTTAAAATCTCCAATTTCGGGTCGTACATATTAAGCATTTGAAAGAGTTTTGTAAAATTACAAGATGACTCCAAAACCACTTTTTCATTTTTTAAACCCTAAACAAAAAATAGGTCACAAAGCTTTCCCACAATCCCACCCTTCTGCTTTCACTCTAAAACCCAACTCTCAAATATATTATAAGATAATGGGAAAAGGTGCAAATAGGTCCATGTACTAACAAAAAAAGGTCAAATAAGCCCTTATTTAGAAAACTATGTCCGGCCGTCGTCATTTGGGGTGGTTCCCGGTGGAATTTTTTGATGAATTTTTTGGAGCATCTTATTCATCAAGTCTAGTTTACTCATATCAAATTTCAGCTAAAACTTCAATCGAGAAGGCATTCAAATGAATTCTTGAAGATAACTGCGCTTCTAACTGCGCAGTTATTTTCAAGAATTTATTTGAATGCCTTCCCGATTGAAATTTTAGCTGAAATTTGGCATGAGTAAGCTAGACTTAATGAATAAGATGCTTTAAAATATTCATAAAAAAATTCCACCGGGAACCACCTCAAATGGCGACGGCTGAACAGAGCCTCCTAAATTAGCGCTTATTTGACTTTTTTTTGTTAGTACATGAACCTATTTGAACCTTTTCCCTAAGATAATTAGGTAACAACAAAACACAAAAATTCTAGCAGTGTTATATAACTAGGTTTGCTTTTGGAGTTGACTCTTGAGTACATATAAACAAAACTACTGATTCATATTATAATTGAGAATAAATGCAATCAGAGAAAATCAGAATACGACAGGTATAAATCAAGATTCTATTTCTAATATAATTAGGAAAAGCAATCAAAACATGCTATGATTTTAAATGTTTATACAGAAAAAATGGTCATAGAGACGGACAGATTTCTTTCTCTTAATAAAGAGCACTTGATGGCTTGAAGCAACAACTAAATAAAGGTTCAAAGACCAATTTAATACAGGGGAGAATGTCCGATTTATGTTTTGACAACTACACATTTTTCCATTTTATTTACCAAGTAGTGTTTTTACATATTTTGATTTAAGCCATTAAGCCCTTGTAAGGTTTTCTTTAGCCGTTTTATCATTAATTTAATTAGCTCTTTTAGAATTTAACTAGTCCTTCAAGGACTTTGTTTAACCCTTATAAAGTTTTGTTAGCCTTTCTTGGATTAATATTTTAGCATTTGGAGTTTAAGATTAATATTTTAATTAACAGTGGCGGCGGCAATCTAGCTCCAATGACGGAGGCGATTCAGGCGACGATGGTGACAGACTGACAATGAAGAAATTAACATTATTAGCTATATATTTTGATAAAGTTATAAATTTATGATCTTTTTAAATATGATTTGAACGCATTGCACAAAATATGTATCTATTGGTAAACAAGGTCATATTCTAGTGACAACTTTTTCTTAAAAAGGGTACTTTTGGTCAAAACGAAAGACTTGACTTTATTCGTCATCACAGAATAAAGTCATAAACTCCTAACTCGAAGGTTGCTTCTCCATTCGCCCACAAGTAATAACGCCCGTAAAAACTAATCCAATTTACACAATACTTTTGCTTCCATTTGCAACATCTATTTGAAAGCTGTGTGAAAACCGAAGATGAGTAAGATTTGTAGTTTAGAGCTAGAAAAGATTTGAGATATCATGAGCACATCAAAATAAGGTACGCAGTATTAAATTGAGTTAAATGGGGCAACATGTCAAAGAGTAACTGCTAATTAAATACAATTATATGTTAAATGGTTTTTTGAGAATTTCCCCCAAATACGGATACTTTTTTATGTTATTTTCGGGATAATTTTAAACTTATTTTCTTCCAAATAAGAGTGCTTTTGTCTTGCTAGTTGCTATCCACCATGTCAGCATAATGACCACGTTCACATTGTCAACATAATAATTACGTCACATATTCCACATCATTCATTGGCTCTCCATATGTTAAATTATCAAATCTAGGTGTGCTAAAAATGTTGTAAAAAATTAGACCTAGAGAGAATAGAACCCGACCAAGAGCACAACATAGCTTCCACACCACTAAGATAACTCACTTCAAAATTTTGGGATATTTAAAGTATTTTCCCCTAATTCATTTTATTTTCATGTTAATAATCAATTTAAAGGTGAATGTGATGAATTAGTAATAAAGTTGAATATGACGAATTTAAGGAAAATGGGAGTTGATTAAAATAAGTGAATTGAGTTATTAGCAATATTCCAAAAATTATTGTGCAATAAAAATGAAACAAAAGACATCAACAACCAAGGCTATGCTAATGTTAGGTCTTTTCAATCTTCACGTTTGTTTTCAACACTTTAGAACTTAATTTATCTACCTCATCACTAACTTCTCGGATGATCTTTTCTTCGCGTGTTTCAAGTAGGCATGGACGGGGCCGGGCCGGATCAAACCTCGGGCCTAGGCCCGAGCGGACTTCGGGACTAATGAAATCAGGTCCGGTACCGGTCTAGGCTACCCGCCCGAGCCCGGGTTGGGTCGGGCATGTATTATTATTTTTTGTTAACTTTGTTTTTTTTGAATTAATTCCAACCCCCACCCCAAACCGCCCAACCCCACCCATCTAGCAGTCAGCCTAATGTGAAAAAATGATTGGCAACCATTAGGCCCGAATCGGCCGGTCCGGTCCACCAAATTAGGAGCCCGTGCCCGCATCCCTTTTCCACTGGGCCGGGCCGCGCCTAAACAGCAGCGGGCCGGGTCAGGCCGTCCGGGCCCGGTCCATCC